GGACAGAAAGCGATGCTACCAAGCCAAAGGTGGGTGACTTCTAATCCGCGGCCCTCGGGCCTGTCTTTCATTGTTTTTGTTCAGACATTCCTCTAGGTCGTATAGCCCTGGTGCACAAGTTGCTGTATTGTGGTCACTTGTGGTTGCTGTAAGGCTGAACACTGTGACACTGATGTGTCAAATGTGTTAATGGTTGGCTACCCGATGCTGACAGAGTGGGGTGGAGCTTCCAGATTAAAACAAGCTTGGAAGGAGGAGTAGCACCCACTTCCATAATAGCTTGCCTCCGGAAACCCTATGAACCTGGAGAGGGGATGAAAGGCACCCAACGTCAAGGATTCTCCTTCATAGGGTCGCTATGAGTCGCCTGCGACTCGACGGCACTTAACAACAACATTATAGTACAACTAGTATAATATATATTCTACAGTTTAATACATAATATGCTGTTACAAAGTCATACTATATGATGCTGTAACAGTAATCATACTGCTACAAACAGTATAATTATTATTATGTAATCGGATACAACAGTATGATCAATATTGCACAAAGAGCACAAGTCACAGGAGTGTGCACTGCTCTCACATCCCTCAGGGGAGTAATATCTAATCAAGGGGAAAAGGCACAGTCAGTCTCAGTGAGATCCTTGAATTTTGCTTTTGATTAATTTGGTTTCATCAGCTCATTTGGTTTCATGATATAACTTACAAGAAGATGTAAAAAACTATTATAACTGTGTTCCATGGAATGCATTAAGACTAGAGAAATCCAGGGTTCAGTGAGGTAGAAAATGAAATTTCAGCTTTTTAAAAGAAATGTCAGGCACAGCATTCATCAAGGAGTGCAGGCAACTAAATTAATCTTATAATTAAAATTTCCTCAGCTCCCTTCCCCCCATCTAATGTGCTTACAATGTACACTGAGTTTAAAAAAGCCTCAATGATTTAAACAAAAAGAAAATAATTATATGACAGTAAGATACCTTTTAAAAAATGTTTTAAAGTAAGTGATAAGAACCGGTAAAAGTAATGTCTACTAAAAATTTCCTAAGAAAATTAGGAGTGAGAATAAATTGCTTTTAACTTCAACGATACGGCTAACAAAATTCAGGAGCACACAGGCATAAAGATGGCATTATAATTTATATTAATTAAGAAAAAATGAATATGTAAACCTACCTTCCAACTTTAACCCAATCTGCTGGTATACAAGATAAAGCAGAATTCTTTACTTCAATCATAAACTAAAAGAAAGGCAAATGAATAGTTTCAGTGATTAACTATTTGACTTTCTCATTTTCTCAAACTTTACTGCAATAAGCTAGTAAATATTACACATTCTAAACATTATGAATAAATCCAGTTTTGTTCTTGTGCAAGTTATATTTCTATATAGTCATATATTGGTTTTTAGGATTTCAGTACCTGAGATAAAGCATCACTTACAATGAGCAAAACATCTCAAAGATTAATATGGAGACTTTAAGTAAGACATTAATTTGGAAGTTTCATGTTAACTGTTCTGTTATACACACAGAATTTTGCTGACTGGTTTTCCTTCATTTTTTAGTATCCCTTTAAGTAAGAATTCTATTATTCAGGTAAGGAATCCCTGAATGATACAAACAGTTAAGTGCTCTGTTACTAATCAAAACACTGGCCTTTGAACTCACCCAAAGGATCCCAGGCAAATGCTTCCAAAAAAGTCACACCTAGTCCTAGCCTTGAAACTACTCCCTCCTCCCCTGAGCAGCACTGTTCGCAATAACAAGAAACTGTAAACAGCCCAAATGTCCACTAGCAAACAAATGGACTGAGAAACTATGGTACATTCACACAATGGAATATCATGCAGAACTCAGTAGCAATGATCTTGAAAAATACTACATAACATGAGAGAGGCTAGAGAACATTAACTCAGTCTCATAATGGTAAAATGCTTATAAAAGTCCAAAGAGGGAAGCAGGGGTTGGAAGGGCTGAGGGTGGGAAGGTGGCAAATCATGGGGTCACAGAGTTTAGGGGGGACACGGTAAAGGAATTAGAAAAGATCCAAAAAGAACCTGAAAAGATGAGGCAACAGTGGACATAGATAAAGGGTGATTAGTTTTATAAAACACAATGTATGGGGATGATCATATGAAACCTAATAAGAATAAAGGAATGTATATGAATATCTATATGAAACATAACGTATATGAATTTAAAAAAAGAAAGAATCCCTTCTCCTGTGCACATGTGGATATCAGAATTGAAATCTACTTGACAGCAAGCAGCTAACAACTCAGGTAAAAATCTCTAAATCCATAAACCTTTATTCTGTTAGTAGACTCCTAACAGTTTGAGATTCAGTCCTTACCCTACTATGAATTGGTGGCTGTAACTGCATTGGAGGTTGCATCCGGATGGCCAAGTTCTCTGAAGAACACACTGATCACTCAATTATTACGACCAGAAGACAGTTCTGTCTAAATGTGTACATTTCCCATCACACGAACCATTTATTTATAGATTCATTTTTGCTCTACAATCCTGGCATTCTGAGCTCAAACAGGAAGCAAGGGAAATCAAGTTCCTCAGTTGCACTTCTCATTTCAGCATTTGGTATACATTATCTTAGTGTGCTCTCATTTCTGCACAATTCAACTTTTTCCTTAAACAATTTTAAAAAACTCTTACTTTGTATAGTAAGCTGCAACTTACTTTGAGTGCATATAGGAATTATTTTACATATTTCTACTTTTATAAAGATTCACCCACTTCTATAATTACTCCAGGTATTTATCGTGACATTTATATATATATTTTTTCCTGGACTTACACTGTTGTTAAACAAGCTTGGACTTATATTACTTTTTTAAATTGTTTTGCATATAACTATTCATATACATTGTGTTTTGTACATGTACTTTGTGTTTCATGCAATCATTAAGATATACTGTGTTTCATTTATATACCTTGTGTTTTACAGTCATTCATATGCGTCACATCTTATAAAATTAATTACCACTGGTCTTTGTCTATTATCCCCCCATCTTCTCAAGAGGCCATTGAACAGTTTTCAATCCTTGGACCGCCAACCACCGACCAACCTCTGATATTCTCAGTGATCTTTCCCCCATTCTTCTTTCTCTGTACTTCTTTTTCCCTTTCCTAGTTTGAACATTTGTACATAACTTGCTCAGTTATCCTCCTATTATCACAACAGTTGTCATATGTATTATTTGTCCTTATTGTGACTGAGGTATTTCACTCAGCATAATGCTTTCTAGTCTCTCCCAAGTTATTCAGCATTTTACGAAGTTGTTCCTTAGTGCTGCATAGTACAATAAAGTGCTGCATAGCACTCCATTGTTTGAATGGACCACAATTTTTTAATCCATTTGTTTATAGATGGGAATTTGGGCCATTTCCATTTTCTTACTATTGTGAATAATGCTGCTATGAACATAAGTGCACAATTGCCCTTCTGTGACTTAGCTCTGATTTCTTGGGATATATTCCTAGCAAGGGAGCTCTGGTGGCCTAGTTGCAAAAAGCTGTGCTACAATCCCAAAGGCACAAGGTTCGAGGTCACCCACTACTCTGCTGCAGAAGGATGTGCAATCTCCTCCAACATGATTAACTGTCTCTGAAAACCCACCAGAGGGTCAGCTATGGGTCAGTTCCTACTCTATGGTACACAGAAACATACTCCTAACAATGAAACAGCTTTTGAGAAAATGCCAAACTGCCTTTCAGAGTGGTTGTACCATTTTACACCAGCAGGGCACATAAATCCCAATCTCTCCACATCCTCTCTTACATTTGTATTTGCTGTCCTGTTACACTTTACTACTGTTACTGGGATGAGATGTTATTGTTTTGATTTGCATCTCTCTGATTGCTAGTGATTTTGAACATTTCCTCCTGTGTCTGTTGGCCATCCAAGTTTCTTCTATCACGAAGAGTCTTTTCAAGTCTTTTGCCCATTTTGTGACTGGGTTTTCAGTCCTTTTCTTCGGGAAGCCTGATAGTATTCTGTAAACTTCAGTTATCAGTCTAAAATTTAGTTATCTTTGTCCTAGAGATCACTGCCAAAAGTTTTTTCGAAATCTGTGGGCTTTCTTTTTCACAATCTTGGATAATGTTTTCAACAAACACAGGAATTTTCTTTTAAGAAGGTTGTTGTTGTTGTTATTATGTGCTGTTGAGTTGCCTGCAACTCATAGCAATCCTTTGCACAATATCCCTGAACCCTGTTCTATCCTGTGGACCTCTCACTGTTTCCAACACACCTACCGCCATTACCCCAGTCACTGAATAAATCCATCTCATTAAGGGTCTTCCTCTCCTGCACTGTCCCTCCACCCTCCCAAGCATGACGTCCATCTCCAAGGTCTGGTCCCTCCTTGCAACATGTCCAAAGTATGTCACATGAAGCTGTAGACTCCTTGCCTCTCTAGGATGAATTTGTTCATTTTCTTAGCAGTCCACTGTATATTCAATACTCTTCTCCAACACCGCAATTTAAAGGAATCAACTCACCTTCTATGATCTCTAGTCATTGTCTAGCTCTCTGATGCATAGCAAGTAGTTGCAAAGACCATGGCCTGTATCAGACACACCTTTACCACTGAAATACGTCTTTTCATTTCCTGGCTGCTGGTACCAAAAGTGTTGAATGTGGAGCCAAGCAAACTAAAGCTGTGAACAATCTCAATCTCTTAACCATCTATCATGCTGCTGCCAATTGGTCCAGTGGTGAAAATCGTTGTTTTCTTGATATTGAGCCTCAATCCATACTGAAGGCAGCATTCCTTGACCTTCTGGAGCAAGCACTTCAGGTTCTCCTCAGCAAGCAGGGTTGTGTTATTTGCATAACGCAGATTGTTGAATCTTCCCCCAATTCTGATGCCACATTTCTTCTGATATAGCCCAGCCTCCCAGATAATCTGTTCTGCTCACAGAGTGAAAAGGTATGGAGATAGGACACATCCCTGGCATACACCCTTCCCAATTTTTAACTAGGCAGTGTTTCCTTGTGCTGTTCTGACGACTGCCTCCTGGGCCAAGTACAGGCTTCACACAAGTATGATCAAGTATTCTGGGATTCCCATTCTACTCAGAGTCAGCCACAGTTTGTTATGATCCACACAGTCAAACACCTTTGCATAATCAATGAAACATAGATAGACATTCCTCTGGTACTCCCTGCTTTCAGCTAAAATCCATCTAACATTAGCTACAATATCCCTAGGACAATGAACTTTTCTAAACCCAGTCTGTACTTCTGGCAGTTCGCTATTGATGTGCTGTTCTAGTCGTTTTTTTATAATCTTCAGCAGAATCTTGCTTGCGTGTGATATTAATGATATTGTTCAATAATTTCCACATTCTGTTGGGTCACCCTTCTTTGGGATGGGAACAAATATAGATCTCTTCCAGTCAGTTGGCCAAGGGGTTGTCCTCCAGATTTCTTGGCACAACTTGGTGAGCACGTCCAGGGCAGCATCTGTTAATTGAAATATGTCAATTGGTATACCATCAATTCCTGGGGCCTTATTTTTTGCCAATTATTTCAAAGCAGCTTGAACTTCTTCCTTCATTACCACAGGCTCTTGCTCATATGTTGTTTCATGAAATTCTTTTATGTCTGCCAATTCCTTTCGGTACAATGACTCTGTATACTCTTTCCATCTTCTTTCAATACCTCCTGGATCATTTACTATTTTGCCCAAAGCATCCTTTTTTTTTTTTCATTATTTAGAGAATACTTTAGTAGTTTCTGTAATCAAACCCATGTAAATAAGACCTTACATATTTAATACAGTGCGTTACCCCTGTACAAATGGAAAAAAATATTTAACATTTCTAGACCAATATGGCTGTTAATTTCTGTACAACCAAAGCATCCTTAAATATTGCAACTTGAGGTTTGAATTTCTTCTTCAGTTCTGTGAGCTTAAGAATGACTGAATTTTGAACAATCAATGATTAATCAATTTCAAGTACATTTTATAAGAAACATAAATGTAGGTTATACATATGGATTTTACTTGATGATATGAATGGGAATCAGATTGATTATATCAGTGGAAAGAACCACCGGAGAAGCTCAGTATCAGCTGTGAAAACTAGGCTAGGTGCTGATTGTGGAACAGACCACAAACTACTCATATGCAAGTTCAAGCTGAAGCTAAGGAAAATTAAGTTAAATCCATGGGAATGAAAATATGATCTTGAGTCTATCCCACCTGAATTTC